AGGTAGGCGCTTTTAAGGCACCCTCACATGGCCGTTTTGGACGCCCCTCGGTTTGCCAGATATGAGAGCAGTTATCAGGTCAAACCAACAGGTGTTGCAGCGATGGAAGCTAAACTTTGTGGATGAGTGGTGACGTCTCTCAGAGTTCATCCTGACCTGCGTGTCCTCCTCAGGTGGCCTGTGGGCTGAACCACACGTTGGTCGTCTCTGCTGACGGGATGATGGTCTGGGCTTTCGGGGACGGAGACTACGGAAAGCTGGGACTCGGTAACTCCACAGCCAAGTCCTCTCCTCAGGTAGGTGCTGTGCGTCTTCATGTTGGCTGTGCGGTGAAGGTGTTCACGTCCGTCTGAACGTAAATGTGTTTTTATCTCCTCAGAAAGTGGACGTCCTGTGTGGAATCAGCATCAATAAAGTCGCCTGTGGAACTCAGTTCTCTGTGGCTTTAACCAAAGACGGGAAAGTTTACACATTCGGACAAGGTACGGCACGGTTTGATGCTTTCTGAGTCTCAGCTGAGAAAAGCAGGACTGCCTCTCGGTCTCCTGAGTCACAGATGAGCCCAAGGAGTCTTTTTGTATCTTTAGGATTTAAGTCTTAAAAACACCTGCAGAGTTAAACTTCCTGTTTGGACTGTTTGTGTTATTCTGTCTCTTCATGTTGTTTTCCCCCTCTGTGTGTCAGACCGCCTCATCGGCCTCCCTGAGGGCCGAGCCAGGAACCACAACCGGCCTCAACAGGTCCCGGCTCTGTCGGGGGTCCACATCCAGGACGTGGCTGTGGGAGCTGAACATACTCTGGTTCTCTCTGCCAACGGAGACGTTTACACCTGGGGCAGCAACTCAGAGGGACAGGTACGCACACACGCGCACACACACACACACACAGACCACAGACATATCACATGTTTGAGTTCCATTATATTGCATTTCAAGGTTTTGTCAGGCTTTCATTTTGAAGGTTTGTCCTGTCTTAAGCTGACAGTACTTTACTAAATGTGTGCTTTTATTTTGAAATAAAGTAAGGCCCTTCCTGTAGATCAGTGGCTCCCTGTGGTGGTACGCAAACAAATCTCCACATTACAAAAAACAAACCCGTTCAACATAAAGCTAAAAAAAAAATTGTCGTACTCTTATCTGTCTTGTATCTATTGAGTTGTATTTATATCAAATGTGTTTTCCCCTCTAAATTAATCTAGTTTTTGCAACAAACAACTTTAATCTGCTGAATTTATGCTCACGCACAGACATAAACAACAACAGGAGTACGCGTCACGTTTTGAAAAGTTCCACTCGATATTCTGTTATATTTCAGTACTGAAACAACAGAAAGCAGCTGTAGACCTACATTAACAGAATATCTGTCAATGTAGACCTACATTAACAGATATTCTGTTAAAGTAGAATATCTGTTAATGTAGAATATCTGTTAATGTAGACCTACATTAGCAGATATATCTGCTAATGTTAATGTAGAATATCTGTTAATGTAGACCTACATTAACAGATATATCTGTTAATGTAGGTCTACATTAACAGATATTCTGTTAATGTAGGTCTACATTAACAGATATTCTACATTAACAGATATTCTACTTTAACAGAGTATCTGTTAATGTAGGTCTACATTGACAGATATTCTGTTAATTTAGAATATGATGGTACTGAGTTTTTGAGGTTTATTTTTTGAGCAGCTTGTTTTTTGCTGTTGTTTCAGTCCTGAACTATAACAGATATTCTGTTAATGTAGGCCTACATTAACAGATATTTTGTTATTTATTGGAGTTCAGCACACAATCCGCAGCAAGCAGCTGTACATTAACTTTTTGAAAACGGAGCCAGGAGAAGCTTCAGTTTTGATGCATGTACGGACAGCGGACCTTATCGCTCCCCCTCCCTCTCTCTCTCTGTAGCTCTGAAGCTGATGTGATTCTGCTCTCTTTTGCTGTCTTAACACTCTGTAGGAGTCGAGAGGGATTTTTTTGAACGCAGAGACTTATAATAAAGCGGCGCTGTTTGCACCGAGCCTGCGGAGTGCGCACCTGCACTCTCACACGCGCTCTCTCTCTCTCTCTCTCTCTCTCTCCCCCGCTACCTCTCGCTCTCTCCGGCACGCAGCAATTTTATGAATAAATGAAAAATTAAATGAGAACAGGTCAGAAATATACTATACTATTCCAGGTATTGTGTTTGTGTGGGAAACACTGGAGACTAGACTATTTTAATTCTTCTGCACTTTTGTGTGTGCCAGTTCTAGCACTAGCCCTTAGTAGGCCTACAGTGTGGCTGCCAGCAGTCAATAATAAATAATATTCTTTTTATGAATTAATTTGCCTCTTGCATGAAATATGGGTTTAAATAGGCTTACAGTGTATTTTAACATCGACCATAATGTTGGTACTTGGACACCATTATGGGACACAAGGGACACAAGTTAAGCACAGATACAGGAAGTGGTTAGGGATCACAAACTAAAGTCAAACTTCTCAAAGGAACAGTAACAAATGTCAATATTTTCAAATCTATTTTATTTATAGAGCAAATTTAAAAACAAAGTGCTGCATGATAAGATAACCTAAAAGCACAATCATTCAAAGAAACGTACACACTCGACCTTTAGGGAGCTAATGGGGGCGATCTGAAAGAACCTGAAATGCATGAGGGGAAAAAAGCTTCAAGGCAGCTACTTCCCCTTTAGCCTCGACCGAGGAGCAGCCAGGAGCCGCTGATGACCCGAGAGGTCTGAATGTTTAATTTACACTAAGGCTGACTATAAAGGATTACTTTCTCATGGTGCAGCTCGGTCTGGGTCACACCAACCACGTCAGAGAGCCCACAGTGGTGACGGTGATGCAGGGCAAAAACATCCACCAGATCTCTGCAGGACGCTGCCACAGTGCTGCCTGGACCGCCCCGTCTGTGCCGCCCCGAGCCCCAGGTCAGACACACACACACACACACACACACACACACACACACACACACACACACACACACACACACACACACACACACACACACACACACACACACACACACACACACACACACACACACACACACACACTTACACACTTATCCTGCAGGTCAGACACACACACACACACACACACACACACTTATCCTGCAGGTCAGACACACACACACACACACGCACACACACACACACACACACACACACTTATCCTGCAGGTCAGACACACACACACACACACACACACACACACACACTTATCCTGCAGGTCAGACACACACACACACACACACACACACACACACACACACTTATCCTGCAGGTCAGACACACACACACACTTATCCTGCAGGTCAGACACACACACACACACACACACACACACACATAAACATATCCTGCAGGTCAGACTCACACACACACACACACACACACACACACACACACACACACACACACAAACATATCCTGCAGGTCAGACTCACACACACACACAGACACACACACAGACATAAACATATCCTGCAGGTCAGACACACACACACACACACACACACACACACACTTATCCTGGAGGTCAGACACACACACACACACACACACACACACACACACACACACACATAAACATATCCTGCAGGTCAGACTCACACACACACACACACACACACTCTCTCAGTCATTTAAACTTTTCGTTACGAGCAGGTAGCTTCTCTAAAGTATCCGCTCGCTGCAGTTAAATGTGGCGGTCCACACTCAGGTACCGTGAAGTTTAAAACCTGTCCCCCTCCTCTGCAGGCTCGTCAGTTCCTCTCCAGCTCGGCCTCCCGGTGGCGGTTCCTCCTCAGTACAGCGGGCTGAAGGAGGTGAGCATCGAGGCGGTGAGGGCTCGCCTTCGACTCCTCTACCACTTCTCCGACCTGATGTACTCGTCGTGGAGACTGCTCAACCTGAGCCCCAACAACCAGGTACACACAGAACCAGGAGCGTTTCTCAAACTGAAGCTGAAAACAAAAACAAAGACGAGACGACATCTTAAATGTATTTGTCCATTTGGGCAATTTTTTCCTCTTTATCTGGCCATCATTTTGGCTGTGTTAGTGCATATGTCACACCTTTGTAAGAAAGTCTCTCTCTTGACACATTTTGGGATGCAAATTATTATTTTTTTAATAGATCAATATTCAATATTTTTTGCTACTTTTTTTGCATAAATCTCTTAAACAACTTCAGCCTTGCTAAAAACAACCAAATATTGAATAAATATCAGGAATTTAACCCTTTAAATGCCAGAATCATGTAATCAAACTGGCATTTAAAGTGTTAAATTCCTGATAATTATTCAATATTTGGTAGTTTTGAGCAGGGCTGGAGTTGTTTAAGAGATGTATTCAAAAAAAAGTTGAAAGAATTATCAATGTGCTCTCTTTTTATAGCAGTTTTTTGGAAGTGGACATTTTTGTCTTTAGTGACTTAAGAGGGTCGAAAATTAAACTGATGCCTGACGGTTAAGAAGGTCAATAAATCCGTCCGTCGCTTTACTTCAGCAGTGATCACATTCTCTTTCTCCTTCTGCAGAGCTGCACGTCCCACTACAACGCCGGCACCTGGGGGATCGTCCAGGGCCAGCTGAGGCCCCTGTTGGCGCCCAGAGTTTACACGCTGCCCATGGTGCGCTCCATCGGAAAGACGATGGTGCAGGGGAAGAACTACGGCCCTCAGATCACCGTCAAACGGATCTCCACACGGTCAGTGACTCATGCTCTCGTTGAATAATACGATAAATGTTTGCCGAGCGCTGATGGTTAACTGCTTCTTCAGGTCATGACTTTACATGGCTTCTTAAACTCTCCGGCTTCAGAAGCCCCGCCCTCTCTGCAGCGGCTGCTCGTGTTTCTTCATCCTGTTTTCAATCTTTGACTCTGCAGGGGACGGAAGTGCAAACCGATCTTTGTGCAGATCGCTCGTCAGGTGGTGAAGCTGAACGCCTCAGACCTCCGCCTGCCCTCCAGGGCCTGGAAGGTCAAGTTGGTGGGAGAGGGCGCCGATGATGCTGGCGGGGTCTTTGATGACACCATCACAGAGATGTGTCAGGTGAGAACGCGTCCGTCAGGTTCACGCTTCAGACGAGTGATGATGCCTAAAGGACGCTCTATTGATGTCTCTCTCTTTGTGTTCTGTGGATGTCTTAATGCAGGAGTTGGAGACCGGGGTGGTCGACCTGCTCATCCCCTCGCCCAACGCCACGGCCGAGGTCGGCTACAACAGAGACAGGTGAGGAAACGTTGAGGGGACACGTAGAGCCTGTAAACAAACCGATTTTGCGGCCTTGAGCTAGTTACACACCGAGCCAAGCGTTAGGGGGCGGGGCTTGTCAGGGCTGTCAGTGAGGGTCCTCAAGCTATTACTCATGGGCAAACTCCACAAACAAATCGGCAGTTCTGTGTGAACAGTTTGACTTTTTTGCCCGACAGCGGCTGAAAGAACCCGACACGGCGGTCGTTTTGCAGCTTGTTTTTTGTTCTCAGTCTAGTGCGTAGCCGCCTTCAGGTTACCAACACACTGGGTGATTCTAGGCGAGATTTGGGATCAGCTGAAACTGTCCTCAAGTCTTTTCTCAAAGTGTCTAAGTAAGGAAAGTGTTGATTTATAAAACACCTTTCAAGAGCAGACGTCACAAAGTGCTTCACAATAAAAGGTTAGAAAAAGCAGAGACGTTTAAAACAAACAGACGGACAGGACAACCAGAGTCTGAACAGACGGGTTCTTCAAAGGGTCCACAGAGCTCCAAAGTTTAGGTGCTGTAACCTCAAAGGCTTCGTATCCTTTAGTCAGAGGACCTCCGGGACCTGCTGGTGTTATACGGCTTCAGCATCTCAGTAAAGGAAGTTGGAGCTTGACCGTGCACCGCTCTAAACACAAAAACAAGAACTTTAAAAGTGATGGGGAGGACGGGTGGGACACGAGATCGTCTAGATGTAGTCAGTTCAGGGATGTGAGGCTAAGACGTTTGAACAGGGAGTTAAAATGAAACAAACCCAGTATCCACTGATAATGCAGGCCGACAAAACAACAACAAAAACAGTCTGATGAGCTCTGGAAAGAACTTCTTTAAACTCTGATGTAGCATACTCCAAGCCTCCAAATCATCCATGCATGTGCTAACTTCACCCTCAACACATACGGGACATTAAATAGATGCAAGTTCTAATTTCTGTTGGTGCTTTTAAAAGCTGCCTGAAGCCCTTTCACTGACACTGTCTCCACCTCTTGTCATGCTCTCAGGTTCCTCCTGAACCCGTCCTCCTGCATGGACGAGCACATGCTGCAGTTTAAGTTCCTGGGCATCCTGATGGGCGTGGCCATCCGCACCAAGAAGCCCCTGGACCTGCACCTGGCCCCCCTGGTGTGGAAACAGCTGTGCTGCATCCCCCTGCTGCTGGAGGACCTGGAGGAGGTGGACCTGCTGTACGTGCAGACGCTCAAAAGCATTCTTCACATTGAAGACAGCGGCATCACCGAGGATAATTTCCATGAGGTGAGGAATGGAACACGATGCCGGGTGGAGGTGGTTATGATGATGATCCCTGTGTGGAGTTTGTTCTCCCTGTGCGTGTGTGCGTTCTCTCCACGTACAGAAAGGTTAGAAAAGAGAGAGAGATGAACCTCTCAGGTTCTCAGGTAAATGTTGACCTTTGACCTGTATCCACGACACCGGAGAAAAATCTCAGTTTGTCCCTCTTCAGAATAAAAGCCTTCATGTGAGAGCATGCTGATCTCTTGCTTGTGTGTAAACTCTTTCCAGGAGAACATGCCATATTTAAAAAAATATATATCGTGTTCATAAAATCTGAAGTAGGTCAAAGTTCACCGCTGCCTGCGTATGCACACAAAGGTGGGATTTATGATGTTGACTTTGGCGTCTTCCTCAGAAACTTTTCCTGCTTTTAAAAATTGAACGAGCGTCATTCCTCCTCTTTAATAAACAGCAGTTACACCAACGCAGCGTCCTGACATCACGCTGTGTTTATGCTGAATCTCCTCTCTGACAGCATCACACATTGAAACCTCACAGGAGGACTAATGGGTGTTTTGACGGCGTGGACGCGGCGTTCGCCTCGTCCTGCGTGAGAACGTCTGAGTCATCAGAATCACACACAGATAATAAGCAGGCGGCTCGATCCTCTGAGCCTGTTTTTATTCCCACAGGTCGTCTGAGCCGCCACAAACAGGCGCTAACTCACAGTGATGTCATGGGCCGAGGCCACGCCCACTGAGCGCCAGCAGCAGCAGCCAATCATGTGGTTTACTGAAAGTGAATTCTGTTTACAGACCACGGAGAGCTCACATTCCTGACTGAGACGACACTGATAAAAAATGTCCCCCCTCCTCTCTAGAGTCGATGCTCACTCAGGTCACCATGTGGTGGACACTGAAGCTTCAGTGTTTATCCAGCTCTGCATCGGTCTGTAAACCTTTCTGTGTTCTAACCTCTCTCCATTTTTCAAAAGCATCTCCAATATTGATCCTAGTTTGAGGACATTTCTGCTCGTGGAGCTTATTAGAAACATGCAGAGGCCTTGAGAGCGAGAGAGAGCTGTGGGGTGTAAAGGGTTAAACACGGAGCTGAAGCGAGTCTCTGGTACACGCTGTTCCTCTCCCAGGCTGATACAACATCAGTCTGTGGCCCAAACTTCAACTGATACATCCACTCTGATACAACCACAGCCCCCTCCTCACCCCCCCGCATCAGAAAGCTAACACATCCCGCAGCCCCTCTTCTGTCCAAACAACCTCACACAACCCCGACTCTGTAAAGCCCCGACCTGCAGGAATGCCAGGGCCGCTGTTGATGCAGCACATCCTGCCTGTTGGAGACTTGGCCCTGCTCCCGGCCTTGTAGAGCGAGAGGGGGGGGCGGGGCGGGGTGGGGTGGCGTTGAGGGGGGACGGGAGCCACAACACTGCCACGGCCAGCTTCATCAGCCAGGCGGAGGGAGGAGAGGAGGGGGCCGCATCTGCTGCTCTGGCATGAAAAGACGAGAGAGAAAGAATCTCGTTGTGTTCTGCTCCTCCATCGTCTCGGGTTTTAGATTCCTCCAGACGAGCCGTCAAAAGTCCCACAGAGGTCTTAAACCGCCGCCAGGACAGCGAATAAATGAATACTTAAATCACAGCTCGTGTAAGAGATCGAAGTGCATGGTAGTTCTTTCTAAACACAGCCATCACCGACAAGTATTGCAAACACTTTGGAGCTGCTGATTGGATGCTGTGGGTGGCATCGTAACTTTAAACGTCTTTGTCTGACAGCGGAAAAAAAACAAAGTGAACCCGAGAAATCTGCCAGCGTGATGAGCAGTGGGCTATCAGCTCACCAGAGGCATACCTGCAGTAATAAATCACAAATCTATCGTCATGGCAACGTCAACATTTGAGATAACAGCGCATAAATAAATGTTGACCTTTGACCCGTATCAACGACACCATCAAAACACTCTGTTCAGCTCACAGAGAGCCTTCAAAATAAAAGCACCACACAGCAGTTTGTCCACCTTCAAAATTAAAAGCACCACACTTCAGTTTGCCCACTTTCAAAATAAAAGCACCACACTTCAGTTTGCCCACCTGTAAAATAAAAGCACAGAGCCAGCTTGAAATATTTAATGGATGCAATTTGGACGGCGAGCGGCCAGTGCTCCATGTTGATGATGAATATGGAGACAGATGGCACCTAATTCTTTCCTGAGTGGATGTTTCAACATGAGCAGGCGTTTATGTTCATTCTCCAACTTTTTTTCTAATTGTTTGTTTGTTTGTTTTCCAGATGATTCCTCTGGATTCGTTTGTCGGGCAGAGTGCGGACGGAAAGATGGTTCCCATCATCCCCGGAGGAAACAGCATCCCTCTGACGTTCTCCAACAGGAAGGAGTACGTGGAGAGAGCCATCGAGTACCGGCTGCACGAGATCGACCGCCAGGTCACACTCTCAATCATTTATTTATTTGTTTATTTCTTTGACCAAACAAAACAGTTAAATACAAACATTGAGTCTTGATCTTTGAATGAAAAGAAGAAGACAGGTGAGGTGTTGGAGGTCAAAGGTCAAGCGTCTCGTCTCACTCTGATCTTTGGATCTCCGTCAGAGATGATTATTAATCCGTTTCCTCTTCCTGTTTGTGTCTCAGGTGGCGGCGGTGCGTGAGGGCATGTCGTGGATCGTCCCCGTGCCGCTGCTCTCCCTGCTGACGGCAAAGCAGCTGGAGCAGATGGTGTGCGGGATGCCGGAGATCTGCTGCGACGTGCTGAAGAAGGTGGTGCGCTACCGGGAGGTGGACGAGCAGCACGCGCTGGTTCAGTGGTTCTGGCAGACCCTGGAGGAGTTCTCCAACGAGGAGAGGGTCCTCTTCATGCGCTTCGTCTCCGGACGCTCGAGGCTGCCCGCCAACACGGCCGACATCTCGCAGAGGTTCCAGATCATGAAGGTGGACCGGGTGAGTCCGGCAGGAGCTCAGACACATTAACGAGCGGCGTCCAGTCAGCGAGAGAGGATTTCAGATTAGTGATCTAACAGACGGTTTGATTCAGGCAACGGCGTTTAAACTGCATGAAAACGCAAAGCAGCGTCCCGGTCGTCGTCGTGTAAACTGGATAAACTCGGCTCCTCCTTTTCACACTTCCTGTCATTAGTTGTGAGCGAGTAGATGGACTACAACAACAATGGCCGACTCCTGACTTCTGTCTGTAAAAATATTTCCTGTTTGTAGTTTCAGGTCACTCAGTAACGACCTCACCTCATCGTCCGTCCACACAAACGTTTGTTTGTTTGTTTGTTTGTTTACACCTCGGCGCTCTGTAAGCGTGCTCGTGTTGTTTCATAACGAAGACACACCGCCATCTACTGGCCTGGCGTGTATACTACAGTGTGTTTTTTTGCTGTTTTGGTGGATCTGTGCTCACGCCACGGCGGTTGTTCTCAAAATTGCGTCTGAACTTTTGAAAATGTAAAAAAAAAAAGACGATTCTGTTCGGTTCTCGTGTTAATGACCTCACACCGCTGCTCACGACGTGTTTTAGAACAGCCCTGTTCAAACCGCCGTTTTTACGCCCCTGTGACGTTTCGCCTTAAATCTAAATGACGTTAAGGGACAATGGGGGGGAAGTGACGCCCTTTGGACTGTTTTTGGGGTCATGCTCCTGCAATGGCGGAACACAAGGTGACCTCACAGACTGAGACCGATAAGACGCCGTCACAGAATCTGAACGTACAGAGACGTGATGACAGCGTGCGGTGCGTCAGAGAGGAATGAATCCGTCACAGTCTTCTTCCCGACGTGACGTTGCAGATTTAGACGCTGTGCAGGAGTTTGGCTGCCATCTTTGAAAACGAGAAATGACTGAATATAAGTTTTTAGGTTTCTTTTAATTTTGTTGCCAAACGTGTCGACGTCGTTTGATTTTTTCCAGAATGTTTGAAACTCATCGTCAGCCCCCCCGGCTGTACGTTTTGACCTTTGATTGAACCCTGTCCTCTGTGTGTCCCCTCTGTGCAGCCGTACGACAGCCTCCCCACCTCTCAGACGTGTTTCTTCCAGCTGCGTCTGCCTCCGTACTCCAGTCAGGCCGTCATGGCCGAGCGGCTGCGCTACGCCATCAACAACTGCCGCTCCATCGACATGGACAACTACATGCTGTCACGGAACGTGGACAACGCCGAGGGCTCCGACACGGACTACTGAGGCGGAGCGTCTCATCACAGCACACACACAGACGAGGGAACTGGTGACGGGCAGACAGGCCACTTTTTAAATGATTTTATCTCCTTTCAGCACACGTTTCATTTCTCCCCGTGGTTGATTTTTAAACGACACAAAGATCCACACGAAAAGAAGTGCATTTAGCGTTTTGTGTTTTTTCATTACTCCACATCCCATTTTCAGGGTTTGTGCATGGAGCTTTGTTTATTTGTCTGAACTGTGTATAGAAGAGAGCGAGTGGTGGGCGAGCTACAACATTGTACATTGTGTAAAATGCTTCATTAGGAAAATGTTTTGCATAAGATCCATATTTATTGTTTTCATTGCCGATGCCGAGTTTCCCAAAGCAGACAGAAAAAAAACAACAATAAATGCTGCAGAAGTCCGTCTGAGTGTGAGCTTCTTCAGAGTGAGCGATTTAAAGAGACACACACACGAGTTCAGAAACATCACGTTTATTTCAGACGTACAAAATATCACAAAGGCCATCGTTAGAGGAGGAAATACAAAGTGAGAAACGATGTACACGGAGAGAAGGTCAGAGTGTGTTCTCGTGTCGGCCAGAGCTGTTGGTAGAAGGGCAGGTTGGGATTTCTCAACGCTCACATTTACATTTACAGTGAACGCACCACGCTGGTCGCACAGCAGTGTCTGTCCTCAGTGAGCGGCGTCTCATCAACGCCACGCCCAGCTGTACTCACAGGTTCACGAGATCGCGCTAACGACATGTAGCTTTGTCTTTCGGCGCCTGTTTTAACGTCACGATCTCTGAAGTGACCATCTTGACTCTGTATATATGTTTTATTTTGAAATTGACCGGACACGCTGAGTTTCCTCATCTGACTTCCTGTCTGGATCGATCTATTCTGTCCAGCCTGCAGCGTGCTCCGTCGATCATCTTGGTGCATATTTGAAATGGAGCAGAGCGTGATGTGGAAACACGAGCATTGTCTAGAGTGGAAGCAAACGGCGCCACGGTGCGCGCTGACGGACGGTAAGCGTGAAAACGATGTGATCAGAGGTGTAAAACAAACAGCTTCCCCACCTGTGATTGGACAGCAGATCCTGAGGCGGGAACGCAACTAGCTAACCTTTCCAATAACCGACCTTAAGAGACTACGCTAATCCCAAAGCGCCTCATCGAGCGACCACGATACGAGGCCGAAGAAGTTGCTGCGGCAGCTTTTAGGTTTGTTTGAGAAATCTACACGACTGACTTCAGCTTCAGATCAAGTTTGAGGAGAAGCGATTAAAGCACCAATATCTATTTAACTTTGGCCGGAGAGAAAAATCCTCGTTTGGTTTCCCCTCAGAGTTTAAAATCTGAACGTTTGTCGCCTCCTGTGACCATAAACCATAAAAACATGGAAGTCGTTAACGAGCAGTGGCCGGAGTCCCTCCCTGCTTTGGATTTTCTATGAATTCAAAAAAATAAGAAACAAACATTTTGAGCGGAGACAGGCGGGACACCCCAACATCATCTTTAATCACAGACGATGAGTCAGCGTAAAACTCCAAACACACCAAACTTTCATCAGAGAACGAGCGCAGACGACGGCCTCACTACGGTCATGTTGACCTTGTTATATATCCTCACATGTGCCGGTCGTGCTCGAGTGTTTTGTAGATTTTGTTGTTTGTGACCTGTGATGCATTGTGCCGGATCACTCAGAATAGTTCCAGACCATCTCCACTCCCGTCAAGTTCTCACTTTTCACCAAACAGCTCTGCTCTGTTTCCAGCCTGAGGTAGAGGAGTCTGTGTAAAAAAAAAAGCAGAAGAACCGGAGTAACAGTCCGAGTGTGGCAGGTCCGGAAATCAAACGTCTCCTCGTACGACGTGCAGCGGAGGCTCGGTCAGGATATGAACCGTATGGATACGCGTTTGATACCACAGCAACAAAAACAGAAGTCCTGCGCACAAGAGTCTATTTACTGTTTTCAGGTCATAACAAATACAGCCCGACTGATATCAGGGAGGGAAAAAAAAAAAATCAGATGCCGATATCTTTCTCAGATCTGTAGAGATAAATAAACAGACTCATTTATTGCATTCATCCCTCAGATGTAGTTCAAATCAAAAAGATTTAGTCACAAGATGGTCACTCAGCTGGACAGTAACTGAGCATGTACGTACATCGACACTCTGGAGAGTGATGATGCTTGTTGTAATCCATATAGCGCCCTCTGCTGGTGAAAGAGGTAAACGCTATTTGACTGCTGAATAAATCGAGTTATATAAGCGCATATCTGAAATAAAATTAGCCGATACTGATAGTCACTGGATATGCTGATATCGGCCGTTAGTATCGGCGGGCAAAAATGACAACAATGTCTGCAATTAGCCAAACTGAAAAGTTGCCGATGTGTTTGTATAATTTAGGCGTTGCTCATCGTTTCTGTGTCTGTTTGAGACGATGGTCGTTATGGCAACAGAGATTCATCGTTTATAACACATGGTATCAAAAGTGTTCGCTCTGTCAACATCGTATTTTGAGCTACAAGATCAAATCCAACCGACTCAGCAGGTCCAACGTCTCCAAGCACGACAAAACAAAACAGCAGTCCTGTCCTGTCTTTTTTTTTTTTTCACATTCAAGAGTCTTTGTGGTCGTCATGGCGATCCTGACCCCGGAGCGAGCTACAGATTAAAAAAGAAAAGAGGAAGTAGAAGACTCTGAAGCATGCTTTTGTTTAAGGCCTTTAGTGTCTCAGTCGGACTGAGTGGAAGCCATGTTTGTCCTGAATGATCCCACGCCATGAGGCCCGCCTCCTCTCACGACATCCACCCCTCTTCCCCCGCCGCCAGGGGAACGACGACGCTCTCCTTCGCCTGCAGGAGGCGCTCCAGACACGGAGAGATGATCTTAAAGGGCGGCGGCCCCCGGTTCACTCGAGGAGCAGGAGGGAGGTGGCGAGGGGTTTCGGAGTCAAGTTCTGAGGTGGAGGAGACGGCGTGGTCCTGGGTCGCTTCCGGGCTGCAGCGTGCGGGCCGAGGGGAGGGGGGGGGCCGGGCGAGCATGGATTTAGGTGTCGTCACGGAGCAGATGGGAGACGTGTGGAGCCATTTGAGGCGGGTGGAGGAGTGAGAGGCAGCGAGAGGAGACTCTGAGGAGGGAGGACGAGGAGAGGCACTGCTGTGAGGCGGCTGCAGAGGAGACACAAAAAACACAACTTTATTAACACAACAGAGCGCTGACAAACAGAAGGTCCCAAACATCCAGATGATCATAACTACACTCTGACATAATAAAGGAAACATAATCACCTTTAGCGTCTTGGCCGGCGGGCCGCCGTCTGTCTGCGTCACATTCGATTTGATGTGAGGAAACCAGCTCCGAAGCATTTCTTCGATTTTCAGTAAAAGGCCGAAGAAGCGTCGCCTACAAGAGAAAATATAAGTATTAGAGTAATGTTTCAAACAGTTTCCAACAGATCCCCGAGGAGAGAAGCCCGAAAACTAGTTATTCTCATTTACACCAGAGCCCGACCGATAATATCGGCCAATATCAGCATATCGAGTTTCTATCAGTACTGATTTTATCAGATATTACTCGATTTTTGTCACCAGTCAAATAGCATTTAATTTGAGTTTCATTACACACACGCACACGCACACGCGGGGGGCTTAGGGATGTCTCGCCAATGGTCGTTACATAATCCTCATGAAGCGTCTGCAGACACATCGATGAGCCGCTGCGTCTGATTGGTGGACGACATGAAATAGCACAAAGACTGAACAGATATAAAGGCCTGCTGTGTGTGTGCATGCATTCCTCCCCGCCTGTGTGATACTATCTGGTCACACACATGAGAGCGTCACATGACGTGGAGGCGAGTGAAGCATGTTCAGGTCCACGAGAAATGTGACCGCAGCGCACACACACACACACACACACACAGTCTCACACAGCCCACACGTGGCAGCAGCGGGGGGGCCGCCCTCGTTCCATTCACAGGCTATAAATAGAGCAGTAAGCCCTGGAGCGCCGGCTGAGGCCCCGCCCACTGCTCACACACACAGCACTGTTGTGTGTGTGTGTACTCTGAGTTTTATGAACTCAAAGCTTCTTCAGACGTTCTTTATTTTTTCTCTTTGACCCGTTACAGTGCAGAGTGAATATCAAGCAGAATAAACTTTCCACATCTTCTGAAAGCTCAAACTGTTTTCAGAGTTATTTTCTGTGTTTTTGTAATAAAAATGTTTGATGTCTCTCCCTGAAAGCTTTCTGTTGACAGTAAATCAAACTTATTACTCGTCTGAGAGGAAGGAGCCATTTATCGTGGTTATAAGTTCTAAACGAGCTCGTCGTGTCACAGCTCAGGTTTCAACAGAAACACAATCTGTCTGATTTATGATCCGGTCAGATCCCTTAAACACAGGCCTCGTCCACACGTAGCCGGGTAACTTTAAACGTATCTTTCTTTGCGTTTTGACATAAGACTGCAGGCCTAAATATTATTAAAGTCCTTCCAGGGTGAAGATGTTCAAAAACTCTGTTTAAGGTGTTTCTGTGTAGGCAGGGGTTTTGTTGTTCTTATGTCACGCTGTGACTGACGCACGCACGCACGCACGCACGCGTTGATGAGCAGAGACGCCTGATTGGATGACGGAGGTCACTGCTGCTGCTTCATACAACACTCTGACCACATTCAAACACATTTCTACACCATGCTGACGATGAACTCTTCTCTATAAAAGTTTACAAGTCAAATAAGAAGGGAGTCCTGTGTGTCGCCCTCGCTGCGTGTGTGTGTGTGAGCAGCACGCTGAATGCTTCCTGATGTTCGCTCCATTTGTTCTTTGTTAGCTGCAGTTTGTCACTCTTCTATACAGTAATCTCTGACGTCGGTATCGAGGATCGTTTGGACGGAGGTTAAAAGACGTCCACAGATCGACTTTAAAACAAACGGAACCCGTTTACACGACGCTCTTCTGTATAAAAACAGAGACACATGTTACTGTCAGAGTCTGTGAAGGGTTCTGTTTCCTCCTCAAAACCAGCAGAACGTTTTACATCATTTGCATAATTACTGTGGTGGCTGAGTTGAGTGACAGGTGGGCGTGTACAGCGATGAGCTCAGTTCATCCAAAATGTAAATTCGTTAATCCGTTAACAAAGTTCTTAACGTTAAATTCAGTTAATTATAAACCTTAGTAAACCGATTTCAAATTTAACGGTGTTACGGTTTAAAGAGTGACCGTGTTAATTGGCGACTTTCAGCCGAATGCGTCGTTGGTTGTCATGGTTACAGACATATAAGTTTGGTATTTCTTAATATAATCAAAAAAAATTAAACAAAGCCGCATTAGTTTGGACACTTTCTGACTTCAACGTCTGCTGTAACCATGACAACCACAGACACATCCGGCTAAAAGTCACCAATTAACATGGTCACGTTTTAAACCGTAACACCTGTGTAAAAAGATGCTTTGTTTTTTTTTTACAATAAAGTCAGTAGATGTGATTTCTTAAGACGCCATAATGACTCATCAAAATCACCCCCGTCTTCACTCTCACAGCGATCAGGAAGTACCTTCATGAAGGTCAAGCAGCATTTCACAATAAAAGCACCGCGAGCAGAGACATGTTGTTTCTCTAAAGAACAGGGGGCGCTATTCTCTCGCTCAGGATGTCTTTGATACATCTGACCACGAGAGAGCGAGGTCTGGACGTTAACGGAAAAATCATTTTAAACGATTAAAGGTTTCAATAAACTTTTTTTTTATTACATTTTTTTTGAAGATGATTAAAATGAGCGCAGATGATTACAGACGTTTGGCGAGCTCTTGGCGTGCTGCGGCTGTGAGTCAGGATGTAACGCCTCGGCTCCGCGTTTTAGTCTGCGTTTAAATCACTGAACAAAAACGACCTGCGAATGTTTCCTCTGATTGTTGGAACTTCTCGGAGCTCATTCTTCTTTCCTAATAAAACAAAAAAAAACCCTCCGGCCAAGTCCACTTCAAAGACCAAAACCGCCGTCTGAAATGTGCTCTGTCATGAGCGTGGCGTTTCCTGGAGGTCGTCCAGAGTTCAGGATGAGAAAGACTACCCGGGAGAAAACCAGTATCATAAATAAACGTGTGAGGACGCAGAACCAGTTTCCACACCTGAGACGTTTTTATTACAACAATAAACAATGAGGATTGACTAGCTGGGGGGGGGGGGGTCTCACCAGGGTCTAGACTCCATCAGGGGGGTAATACCACCAGGGTCTAGACTCCATCAGGGGTGTATCACCACCAGGGTCTAGACTCCATAAGGGGGTAATACCACCAGGGTCTAGACTCCATAAGGGGGTATCACTACCACCACCAGGGTCTACACTCCATAAGGGGGGGTATCACCACCAGGTCTAGACTCCATAAGGGGGGGTATCACCACCACACCAGGGTCTAACTCCATCAGGGGGTATCACCACCAGGGTCTAGACTCCATAAGGGGGGTATCACCACACCACCAGGGTCTAGACTCCATAAGGGGGGTATCACCACCAGGGTCTAGACTCCATAAGGGGGGGTATCACCACCACCACCAGGGTCTAGACTCCATCAGGGGGGGTATCACCACACCAGGGTCTAGACTCCATCAGGGGGTATCACCACCACCACCAGGGTCTAGACTCCATAAGGGGGGTATCACCACCACCACCAGGGTCTAGACTCCATAAGGGGGGGTATCACCACCACCACCAGGGTCTAGACTCATCAGGGGGGTATCCTATCCCGCCGGTCTCCCTACCCCTCTGAGTGCATGAAGTCCTCATGATGTAGTCTAAGTGTCCTTCCCTTCTAATGACCTCAATCCTACACAGACTAACTTGATCCCAGGTCTAATCCGGACTCTAGACCAGCCCGATGGCGCTCTAACAGCTGATTCAGGATCTGATCAGAAAGATGAAACATGGAGCTGCTCAAGAGGCTGAAGTAGTTTCTCAGGTATTTACCCGACGTGTGGGTTCTGAAGGACCCCCCTTATTCTCTGGATCCGGTCCATGGCCACGCTCTCCTGGAAGCTGCTCAGACCTGCAGACGACAAAAAGAGAGAAAACCTGTGAGAACTGAAAAAAGGAAAAGAAAGCAGACTTCCTGCTGCAGCTCGAGCTTCACTGTCAGAGTTCCAGGTCGTCGTATCTGAGGGGAGAAGAACTTCTCTGCTCTCGTTCCTGCTGGATGCTCAAACTGAACGTTTGTTTCCTTTAAATGAAACGTCTCTAAAAGCCTGCAGACGATCAGTCCTGAAGCTTCTGAGGACGTTTGATTTAAAGAAAAACTCTTTAATCACGATCTGATCGGACTCTAATTACCGCTCACATATTTATCTTGGCTGCGTGTTGGTGCAGACATTCAGCTCATATCTCACCTCTGTGTGTACGCCGTCTGTCATCTCTGAGCGTCTCACTTTAGAGGCGTGCTGCAGCGCTAACGCTCAGTCTGCACGCTCAGTGTGTGTGTGTGTGTGTGTGTGTGTGTGTGTGTGTGTGTGTGTGTGTGCACGCTCAGTCTGCATGCCGTCTCCAGGACTCTCTCGCTGTAGAGTCTCAGATTTTGTGATCACTAAATGAGCATTTGTTGAAGTCGTGTTTTTAGAAATCAAAGGAATAAACTGATCTCATTTAGGAGCCAACAATGAACTTTTCATGACTTATTTATTTATCTCTTATTTGAATTATATATTTAACAATTAAAAACTTGAAAAAGTGTTGAATGTCTTCAGTTCTGACGATTATGTTCAAACTTCACCAAGAAGAATGAGGTGAACAAACGCCATCATTTAACCAAGAGAAAGGGAGAGACGGTAAAAAAGCAGAAAGGTGAAACCACGCTCTGTTTACAATCTACCAGAAAACTTCATTAGAAAACCAGAGCTGATTCAGAACTCTACTGCAAGTCAAAACAAAAACTTTTTATAAGCGGCAGGGCTGCGAGTGAGTAAAGCAAAAATCGTAAAATCAGCTTTTGCCACATAACATCGTGTTGTCATGGTTACAGAGAAGTCTCAAAGTGCTGTCCCATCCATATTAAACCATTGGAGACCTTTCAGCCTCACTGTCTCAGGGAGGACATCGAGATTCAGCCGATAGTTTCAGGCGTTCAGGTCTCAGAATGCGAAGCAACACGTGTGTGTGTGTGTGTGTGTGTGTGTGTGTGTGTGTGTGTGTGTGTGTGTGTGTGTGTGTGGTGTGTGTGTGTGTTGTGTGTGTGTGTGTGTGGTGTGTGTGTGTGTTGTGGGGGGGGATTAGACACTTACGTTCAGAGTACCTTCCTGATCTGAGGCCCTGCAGGATGGACGACAGCGGCGCAATGTAGCACTGCAGCTCCGAGCACTGAGAGAGAGAGAGGGAGAGATAAAGAGAGAGAGCATGGTTAGTTAAACATCCACAGCTGTGTGTGTGTGTGTGTGTGTGTGTTACAGCTTATCTCTCTCTCTCTCTGGGTTTTATTGATTTACAGCTTTAACTGTCTGATTGTCCATTTAAAGCCGCTCTGTCTGACACCATTAGACCCCTCCCCCCCTCCCCCTTGGTATTAACACTGAAAGTAAGAGTCCACAGGGCGTTCAATAAGAGGCCCACATTAACAGCTGGTAGAGGCTAATCGAGAACCCGATCACTATCGACAGCTTCACACGTGCCGGCCCCTCCGTCCTCGAGCGTCTCCGACAGAAACGTGAGTGCTCTCATCTAGCAGTCTGAGACCTGCAGCAGCAGTCTGAGACCAGCAGCAGTCTGACACCTGCAGCAGTCTGACACCTGCAGCAGCAGTCTGAGACCTGCAGCAGTCCGAGACCTGCAGCAGTCCGAGACCTGCAGCAGTCTGAGACCTGCAGCAGCAGTCTGAGACCTGCAGCAGTCTGAGACCTGCAGCAGTCTGAGACCAGCAGCA